GTACTGAATACGATTCATTCTGCTGATGGGATGCAAGTAAGTTGGAAAAGGATTCTTCTCGTCTCACCATCTTTCTCGATTTGAAATACTCAAAAAGCACGTGTTCTTGAGATTTTACAGTCCTCTTAAAATTAGTTTAATTCATAATTACTAAGTGTGGTGTAAGTGCATACTTATCTCTAGTTTTTTAATTCAACGTTTGCATTCAAAAAACTTTTTATCACATCCCCATACTAAAAAAAACCAGTAAGTAAGTTTTAGAGTAGTGATTTACATTTCATCGACACTGTGGAATTAATTGCTTACCTTTCAGGCTTGGAGGCAAACAGTTTACAATTTTAGTGGTTGAGTGATAAAGGTATCTGGAGTAAGTAGTTCAGCGAATAACATTCTACACACACTTAATGTAATAAGTGCCCAGAAGCTGCAAACAAGAGTGACGCTATTTCTCAGTGCCCAAGTAAAATTTTTTAGCCTTACATGCAGAAGCTGTGTAATGTTTTCGTTTTTACACCAAGAAATTCACTATAGCTCTACATAAGAAAAATTTAAAATTATTCATACCAGTCATTCCACATCATCACTTAAGCATGCTTTTTCTAATTGATATAAAGGCTGTTTATGCATGGCATACATTTCATCAATTCACTTGAGTTGCCCTCGACTGGGTATTAATTTTATGACATTGAATGCTGAAAGAACTTTGGTTTATACCCTGGTTCAATAATATTTTCAAGTTTTCAGTGATGCATTCTCCCAGCAATTAGTGGTTACTGACAATTTACAACAAACAGGTTCATTTTCTATGAATTACTTCTATCTATTCAACTCCAACAGAAAGCATGAATCCAGTGTTGATAGACAGTTACCCGATATATTCACATATATATATGTAAACAAAGAACAGTATACGTTTCCTTTTACTTGTTCAGTGGTTTTTTATACCAAAATACTAATTCAGAAAAAATCAAAAGAGTGAACGTAGAACTATAATTTTGCAAGCATATGAATTAAGATATAGCTTCAAATCCAGCTTTGATCTCGTTCCACTAAATGAACACTATGAATGGCTACTTTTCTGTGAGCGATATTGTATGTCACCCCAGTGTAATTAAATTACAATTTAACAAACCATCCGACTGACCATCTGTCTGTTTCCTGCGATGTTGATTTTAGTGACTAACTTTTAAACAGGAATCTTATTATCCTTAGGCTGTCCGTGGGCTGTATTATCAGCCGAAACGCAACGTCCAATGACTAATATACTTCTGTTCATCCAATCTATGAAGAACATAAGAAATGTTTCTGATAAGTTATAACATTCAGTGCATGGTTACACCCTGATACCTTTGTCCATCGACTTCTTCAGATTTATCTTTCGGCGTGTTTTCTTACTTATTTTCCCTTAGAATCGTCCTTACGCTCTTCGTCTCTTTCTTCCATTTTGTTACAAAGTATCGATTCACTTATTTGCTTATCTGCATCTAAGTTAGTTAGAGTATGCGAATTTAACTGTGGGAAATAACAGATGTTGAATAGTAGTGTTGAATAGCGTTTTTTTCCAATTTATACACCATTTTTGAATTGTAAAACATCATTCTTGCCATCAGTGCCATTATAATTGTGTTTTTCTTTATAGAAAAAAATGGATTGTACAATGAAGTATTGAATAAGTGAAGGGAACAAAGCTGTAAATTTTCTCATGAGAGGTAACTCATCATTATTATAGATAAAAAGATAAAAGCGAATAAAACGTAGGTAATCTAGAATCTTTTTATGAAAATTGAGAGTTGCTGTTATATTTGAAGAAAAACTTTATTGTAACCTGGAACTAACTCATCAGTGGGAACTCTAAATTTTAATGTTGTTTGAGGATATATAATAAAAACTGACTGAGAATAAGGTTTGGAGATGACCTTCATCTGTTAGCAGATCTCAGTAGCCAGGTAGAGGTAGTCGCTCTTCTAGATATACACCATTGATATTCAATTATTTGTTTCAGACGACTAGTCAGTCTCACCTTAACCTTTTGAAGGTTATTAGACGATATTATGACAACACTTGATTTGTTAAGTTATCCGTAGACTGGACGATGATAATGATCAGCACATTTTTCAAAAAAATGACGCATTTACTCGCAAAACCATAAAGTCTCCACCTTAAACACTGATATTAATATCTTTGTGATGAAGCTTCAGTGTAACGCGTTTTATGACGATGATGGTAGACATTACCAGAAAGCTCTTATTGAGCACTTTGCGGTTTTTAAAATGATGGGTATTGACACCAAACCTAAGACTGTGTTGAAAAATTACTTTCTTTGAGAAAAATTACAATGATTTTCAGTAGGGTCAAAAAAAGCCTAGATTGAACCAGATAATAATAAATATTAATTCAGTTTATTTATTGACAATCAACAATGATAAGCAAAACTTTTTCCACGTCAAGTTTCATAAAGTTGTTTGTCAGATTTTCGTTGTGGCACTCAAACAACTGATAATGCAAGACAGCAATACATACTAAGCTGAACATTTTAAACTTTTGTCCTACTGTGTTCACTTGCAAAATGATTGCTGACTGAGATGTTTTAAAGAGAAATTTCCTTTTTATATACGAGCTAAGTTGAAATCTTTGAAAGGTGCTTGAATGAAACACAGAAACGTATAAATAAGTTTTCTGTAAGGGCAAATCTCTTTCCACATTATGTCCATATTCAGATATAAAATTTGTGTGCTCGTCTCACTTAAAAAGGGAAGCATCATTATGATGCTTGAGTTATCTACGTAATTTCGTTTCACATAATATCACTTATGACTGGAATAGCTTGTGGATAACTTCAGCCACCGAAAGTTTAGAAAACAAACATTGTTTTTGAGGAGATTTTGAATGTTTGATAAAGTATGGTTATATCATATTGTATAGAGCTAGTATGCAAGTAATTTGAATTCTTCGCTTATGTTTAGCTGTCAACAAGCATTCAACATCGAATTCACGGTAACATGGTGCAACAGCATTTAATTCAAAGGCTTTTTCATAGCGTATGACCACTTCATAAGTAATTATGTTTAGCATCAAGGTGGCAACTAATGAAATCCATTCCTGAATAATCCGAATCCGATGGAAGTATCATTTTGCTTTAATTTATTATTGGTTGATGGTTTAGTGACATACTAATAATCATTATCATTATTAATCGGAAAAAGAGGGGAAATTACAAATATCTAACTGTATTGTTTCAGTTAAATTTCATCTGTTTAACTAAACTATCATTCTGTTTTCAAATGACTGATTTTTGCTATTCTACCCTTATTATGAGAAATAAATTCTCTCGCTTATTCGATTCTTTCAAACAATTTATCTCAGTGATTTTATGAATATATGAATTTATAAAAAACATAAAAAGGCAAGGAAAATGGTAAAGTACCCTCCGAGATACAAGAAAGAAAAGTAACAATTGGAATAAGATTAACATACTTTTGGTAATCATACACTAGGGAATACAATTTGTCATGATTCGTTTCTATTTCTAAGAGTTGAGTTGGTTAGAGGGATAGACTTCATTCGCTTTATTGAGTCATTCGAAATTTGTGATTTTAGACCTTTCCAAATCTCAGTAGAAGTATTTCATGATGCCGTTAAAAAAGGATATAACGAGAAGAAGTTTTCTCGTCTCAAGAAAAGATAGCGATAAATCTTCATGAAGGATCATTTGACTTGAGTCTAAGTAGTACATATCTCGGACACAAAGAGAGAATTTTTTCTCAGGAATAACTGATTACCTTTCAATATCATTAATATATATATTTATATATATGTATCATTAATATAGTGGTAATACTAAACTTATAACTAATAACCAGTTTTAAGAACCACATATCAATGTTACCAGCACTACCTCAGTTTTATGTTTCTGAGTGCAAATGATTAGCGCTCTGTTAACAGAAGAATTAAATACAGATTGTTATCTTTTTTGTCAGTATACAAATAAAAAACAAGTGGCTACTGAATTTTTATTCAGAAATGAAAAAAATATCAACTTCGCACTTTTGAAGTGGTGCTTCAGCGTTCATGTTTATACGCTGAATCAACCAACTGCTGACGAATATAAAAGTAAAAAATGTGTCTTATCTCTTTATTGGTAAAGTAAGCAATTTGTATAAATATTCATTTTTTCTTTCTTTTTTACTCTCTTAAGACATCTTCACGCTTTATGGGGTGTGTACTTCTCTGAAATGAAATGGCTTGAGTGTTGTACGTGATATTACTGTTCATTGTTATTGTGTATTTAGACTTTCTTTACCCGACAATACTACTTAGTTCGAATCACGTATCTGGTTACTCCAAATCAACCCTGTCTCACATCAATTATTCTTCTTTCATGCAATCAGAAAACTAGTGACAAATTGTTTAAAGGTTCTCATCAACAATTTACCTATATACCTTATAGTCCTCATCTAAGTCTGATGATGTTGTGTTCTCTGAGCTGGGTGGTTTAGTCATGAAGCTTTTATTGTCATTTTTGACAACATAATCAGCAAAACTTCAGAAAAAACTGATACATAGGGTTTCGTTCACAAGTTGCTCAGTAGCTTGTTCTGATGCCCTTGTGTGTAACTAATCGTTTGTCCCATCTCAGTTTCTGACAACTGGCCAGTCCGTCAGTAAATTTGACAGGTACATCAACGTAAAATCTGACGAAAAAGCATATCAGTTCATGCTTATTGATTGTCAAACCGTAATATCAGTGGACGTCCTATTAAACTTGTCAAAACAAGCTATCTCTCCAAGCTAAATTTGTTCGATTCTACCAAAGGAATAGAATAGTTGGTTTTATAGATGTTCCTTGAATCCATCCAGTAAGCGCTGGAGATCTACTTTAGTACTTTGTAACTACTAAAATCATTGAATAGTGTGATGAAGTACGAATAAGTACAAAGGAAAACAGATACTTTGCAATTATTTATCAAGTAGATAAGTAAAATTTACCTGTTGAAACTTACTTGCATTGTTTTGTCGTACCATCGATTAGCTGCATTAAATGAACTTCCCATCCCATGTAGAAGTTGAAGAGCTAGTGAAACATCATCTCTTTTGTTTAGGGTATTTACATCATTTGTGTCATTTAAATGTCCATTAATCTCTGTTGTTTCATCTAACTCTTCAACTGAGACTATCGGTTTATCCAAACACAATACAAACATGCTTTTAGCTATTGTCTTTAAATTTTCTTCGTTTTCAGGATCTGAAAGAAATGGTAAAAGGGAACTGTCAGAGAGCGGGAAGTGCACACAAAGGTTTCAATTTGCTTTTATCAAAAATATATGTAATTCGGCAATCATGGAAACCCACCATAAAAGGTTTGCTGCATATACACTCAGGCTGATGTAAAAACGAAAGGTAGTACTCAGATATTTGATAAATTTATGGCATCCAAATGATAACTCAGTTCCTTTTTCTAACATTGGGTGCCTTTTAGTAAAATATACTTGTTGCTATTCATTCTGATATCGAAATTGTTTAAGAAAGAGAATGAAGAATGTACAACACAAATGCGATATAAAGCCGGCACAGCTGAGAAATTTCTAAATAACGACAACACGAACAGTACTGTTATGTATATGCGCAAGGATTATTATTACAATTGTTTCTATAATAAATACAAAATATGTCAGTCGTAAGAGTGAAATTAATGAGGCTTTTTTATTTCCAGATAGTAATATGAATATGGACAATAGATTTTGTCGCAAACGTTGTCCAGTGAATAACAGTGTTTCACTGTGTAACATTTCTAATAAGCAGACTAAAATGGAATGACAGACACCATAGGCTTTACTAATTCACCTTTTATGAGCATCTGAGGCTATCTCCGGAGCCATCTTTTCAACAAGAGCCAGAACATCTTGTTCACCAATCATCTTTCCGTATTTGGATCTTATATACACTATAAAATGGTGGTTTTCCCTTTTACTTTATTCTTTTCTACACTCTTTATTACTTTTCTAATTAATGTAACCAGCTGATGTGTATATAAATCTATGGTAATACGACTAACTTCAAGCGTTGAGGTTGATCAGACTTTAATGAAAATCATTATTTACTCAGACTTTTTCTTTGCAGTGATACAAAGATTATATGTCTCTTTCCAAGAAGGTACTTCCTGAGTTTGAATAGGACATAAAACCTTCATGGTTACCGATTCCGAATAAAATACTTCAGGAAAAAGTTTTTCAAACAAATGGAAACAAAAGTACAACTAAACTACACCTAAATTCTTCATAATTACTTCAATTTATTTTCCTTTTACACTTTAAACAGGTAAATATGCAAATGACAGGATATCTAGAAGCGAGGAAAGGATGAATATGACATTCCCCCACTTACATTTTTCATATATAGTGTCTTGAAAACATATCTAACGAAATAAGGCATGTTAGGTGTTACCATTGGTCATCAATAAGCAAATAATGCCAGAATAATATACATAGCAATACAAAGTCATTATGAAATTAAGTCCACTTATTAGTAGCCACTGTAACTCGAAAAATGGTTTCTATTCCAGTGAAATGGAGTATTTTAAGTTGGATGTGTAAGTCTCGTGGTAGTGGAATGATTTATACGAATAAATGTACACACAGCTAATAAATCACAGCAAAATGCGTGATCTATCTCATTAATGTCATAATAATAGTGACGAAATTTTATGACCACCTCAGTGTCTAAAGAATTCAACTGACAGTTAATTTATTGTTATTTAAACTGTTCCGAGAATGCTTTTACAAATTGATGCCAACATGAAGAGATACTATTCGACGTTGCAAAATACAGCTCCCAGAGCACTACACCCTACTGACGCAGCTAACAAACCTGGCTGTTGCTTGATTTCGCTTGAGTTTTCAAGAGTTTTGCCTAGATTTAATACCTTAAATTTTCTGTTACTTAAAAGTGAGAAAATAATGATAAATTTAAGTCTTCCTTTGACGTAATAAATCACTGTTTTCGGTGAGTTTTTTTGTTGGAACCGACGGTAATCCCTCTAGATAAATGCTTTTACAAAACTCTTTCTATAATCTTTTAAAATGAGTTCTCAGTATCCGGTTGATTATGTCTGTTACTGAAGTCCTTGATTTTTCTCGGTTGGTAGAGTTCCTTTGCACCATCGAATTTCAAACGTCAGTGCTAAAGGGATATGAAAATATGACAGTGCTGACACATAAAAACAAACAACAAGCGTCTATTAGGGACTGGTGTAAATTTTACTCCAATTTTCCAACTGTTAATAAAATTAATATTGGGAGTGAAAAGACTTAATAACGTTTAATAAAAGCATGCAATTTCTCACAACAAATGTTTAGTTACAAAAGTAAGTAGTACAACACGATATCTCATTAACTAAGAAATTGAGAGAAAATTTCTCACCTCATTGTTGCGATGCAGCCGAAATTTTAATTATATATATATATATATATATATATATATATATATATATATATATATGGAGCTGCTCATTGTAAAGTAGGTACTGTAATTATAAAAATTACTTTGGACTTCTGTGCTTGCTTCTATATCAGTAAAGTGTTTCCACACTTTGATGACCGCTTTTGTAAATTATATATTAAAATACCAGGAAAACAATGTTTTATAGTATGGCGAGTCAATCATTTTACTAAGGTACTTTCAGTCTGGAATAATTCCGCATACATCCCTGGTTACCAAATAAATTCATCACTCCGACACAATCCAAGCTCCGATTTTCATTATGAGTTAAGTTTCAATTAGTTACTCCCAGAAAGATGAGTTTACGTGATTTTTTCCTCTAAATCTTTTTATCTGAATAAGATGGCAAAAAAGTTACCTTGAAGGTTCTTGTGACTCTTAGTCAACTACTTAATAAGGTCTATCCATATCTGTTTAGTTCCAAGTATTCACAAAACCTGGTTGATATGCCTAAAAAATGGTTACTATTTAAGGTTTTGCTTGTTTTTCAGATAGATTTGGCTTCTCATATTGAGTTCTATTCGGAAAACTTCCAAATATCGGACTAGACGTCACATTTATGGTATGAGGTTTAGAGCTTTGCCAGCTAAAACCCAATCTCATAAAACAGTTCAGTTCGTTTCTCATTCATTAGTAGTTTCCAGTTCCTCAATTATTATTTTGCGAGAGAAGTATAATTATACACAAATTATCATGTATTACCTTTACATAAGTGTTCATAAACCTCTGCCCATTTATTTCTTGGTAAAGCAGTTAATGCACCAACTTTCGGTTGTACTTCCATATCAATTTCGCCAGCTACAGATTCTTCGGCGAACTGAGTCACACGACGTAGCTGATTGTATATATCCTCCTCGCTCAGTCGACTACCATTTGATATAACATCGATAACGAAGAACTTGAGAGAACAAGGTTTACAAAAATTTTACATGATGGCAACTAATCATAGATATTTGCTCAAAACAAGTAAACCTGATACTGGTATACAAATTGTGTTAAGGTTAGCAAAACCTGGACTATCAGCTCTAAGGTTACCACCAGGCAGTCTACAATTCAAGCTGTCAGGTCAGTCTGTTGAGGTGCGTCTTTCGATTTCAGTCATAATTTCGCAACATTAGCATCGGTTTATGTAACTGAAAGTATCTTTACAGTTTAGTCATGCTTCATTGCTTTCACTTTTGTAATTATCTGAAGTAAACACTTTTCAAAGCAATGCCTTTACATTTCAGATTAAAATCCATTAGGCATCAGGTAAGGTTACTGTTAGCTATTTAATATATTCATAGATTTTCACCTAAAAGTATTGTGAAACAGTGAAGCTGAAGCTTACTTATCTAGTCAGTTGACCTTCAACCAGTGTTTTACGGGCTTGAACTCCACTCCACTCACTGTGGTGGTGACAGCATGATGGTATCATTAGCTTTCATGCCATGTGTGACTTACTGTCTATATGAAAGATCAGATGGCGGCTGAGTTCCACTTCGTATTTTAATTTTCCAGTGCAAATCATTAGAGGAAAAGATAACTAAAAGTTGCCAACAAGGTATATCATCATGTTTATAGATCATTTATCAACAAAAAAAATTATCACTAGTGTACAGTTTCTCAAAAATAGTTATCAATTACAGTTCATCCATGACAAGCGATGACTTTATATTTTGTTGACGGGAGAAATTTAGTTCTTGCTCTGGGTGATGAATATGTTTTTATGAAAGAAAGTTAATGAACTAGATACACTACATAAATTAATTTGACTTCATTTAAGTGATTTACATCGAAGGAATTCAGTTACTCTTCAACTCCAAGTATACTACACCGTTCGTTGAAACGAAAATATTTAATACCGAAATTTGTTTTGAATGAGGTTTAAAGAAATAAATGGTTATTTGGCTTATAAACGTATCCAACTATTTTTTTTACCCTTCAAATCTACTAGATAATCTTATAACGGAACTTTTCGTAGTGAAAATTATTATCTCATCATCATGATTTGTCTTCTGGGTATTATAAAATCTAGTTGTGTATGATGACCCATATTGCTCCCATGGGAGGAGGTGATTCAATAGAAGAGATGAATAACAATAATGGAGAAATTCTGCGCGTAAATCGATAGTCAAGTTGTGGTATTCATATTGTGTATGTTTGTTGTCTTTGTTGAAGCAAGAGATATGTTACCCACCAGTTTGTTAAAAAAATAAGGAAAACTTTTCATGACTTTAATATCTGACAGCAAATTGTGAGGATTCAGTAGATAAATAATACCATTAAAGCAATGCATAGTTAATTAAATAATTATCTACATTATGATGGTATTCAATGTTGGTGTCCATCAGAGGTATCCGGAATGTAAAATTGAGGTCCCTGTTACTGATTGTCACATCCTTAAAATTACAAATACATGTGCCGTGTTAGCATTTTCAACCAAAAGGCACGTAATTTACTACTGAAGTATATCAGTAACTGTAATGTACTCATAGCAATCAATAGCATTTGCTAGGAAGTTGAAAGTAGTCTCATTGTCAAACATATGTTTTTCTCACTGATTTATCACAGTGATGGATAGGTTTTTCAAATCATGATAACCATGGCTAACTACCTGGATGTTTTAGCAAAACATAGAATCAAAGCATATCTTTACCATGACCAAACAACTCTGGCTAAACTTATTGACGACACCTTTTCTGTCTATCTGCCGTCATGGTGATGTTAATATTTTAGTTGATTACATTTAGCTTTGTCACTCTCATCACCGTAGACTGAGTATTATGCACACGTTTAGCAGTAGTTATAATTTCTAACTAGTTATTTGTGCCAGTGATAAAAGAAATTAAGATTCGGTTGCATAACACTTACTTGATTCAAGCATATTACAATAATATGCTCAGGATCGAATGGGTCACGTTCAGATGTTGTTACAAGCATGTCTTTTATCTTTCCTGGATAGCGGTAAGAACTGAATAGTCGATAGTATTGCTCCATACAAAGTGGTTGACCCTTCTTACTGTGTCGAGCTCGATCAATAGGAAGTGAACGCCTATTTTAAAGGAGAAAAGAGGTTATAACGAATAAGCTTTGTGAAGCAATCTTAACTACTTCTTGTTTTGACATGACCTTGTACCTAAAAGAAATACATAACAAAAATATTTATGTACATCAGAATTAGGTTGAATTGAAATATAAAATGACTCAATAACAGATGATGTTTTAAGCGCGGTTAAGAGCATCAGCACAATTTTTAATTCTGTAGGTTACGACAAGGGAAAATGCCACTGTTAATTGTACACAAATAACCATACTTATCGGACTTATACACTCTTACACTACTAACACAGAACTTCATTATTCTAAGTAACCATGTGCTTTTTCTCAAGGAATAGTTGCAGAACAAGTAATTAACTGGAATGCTTGCTTCTCAAACTAGTTGTTGTATCTGGTTACTTTTAATACATTGGAACACACATAATTCAGCCAACCAGGAGAAAGAATAAGGCTGACTAATTCAACGTCAAAAGATCAAACAGAAGTATTGAGATCGGCGTTGATGATGAAGAAATACAATCGGAGAAGAATGAAAATGGGATGCATTTATTTCTGCAAGTAAATAGTGATTACCATGTCACGACACTGTCTTTTTCACATCCTCATCTCAAATAACTACATAATAATCCACAGATGTCTCTTAAAGCTTGAAATCTCACTAACTTGGGATGATAAAACCCGTTTTGTTAACGATGTGGCTTTTATTCTTGTGCAACGGTTGCTTTATTTGTGACTGGATCTTGAGTTTCGCTTATTTCTACTACCAGATATGGTAGGCCAAGCTGTCTAAGCTGTTTAACACCTATCATAGTTTTGCCGGCAATATAAGAGCACTAAAATATGCCTATTTTTTCTCTCGAGGAATATAACTTCACTTCAGTCATTAAGATTCCTTGTTCTAGTTATGTCAAATTTGACTGTGAGACTGAATATAATGCTTAGACAGGTGACAGAAAACTTGATTCGTTATTGCACTTAAGCTGGAAGTCTTGGAGTTATGAAACACAGCTTTATGTGAGACGTCAACCTCATTTTTGAGATGATATAAGATGTGGTATGGAAAGGCAAGGATAAGTTCCATAAGACCACTTTATAACCAACATAGAAGTGTTGAGGAATGTGTGGTAGGGAATTACGAGTATTTGGGAAACAATCTCATCTTATCTGAAAATAAAACAAATCTCCACATCTCAAAATCTGTCTTTTAGTTTAGCAAAAAACGCTGGGTTAAATCAGAAATTTGCATAAAGCCCAGTCAAAGTTTAGAATGATACATAAAATGAAAACTAAGTTTAAAATTTAACCAGGTTTATAAAGGGAACCAATCTTTTCAGACCACTGTGTGCGGCCTTCTCAACAACACTTTCTGCATCAAAAGTGTCAGTTGATACTGCTAAGTTTCATGCTGTTGACGACGAGTAGTTGCACAATAATTATTGATCCTGGGTAGTTGGAATGACATGGTCTAAAAGACGCCGAAAAGCGGAGAAATAGACAGGTGTAACACCCATCCGATGTTAAGGTCATCTCAATTCAGTAGTGGTTAGGAGTGGTCAGGAACAACTTGTGTCGGTAAGTTGTACATTGCAGAAAAATGTAATATCTCTTATGTATTAGCGTAGACTGCTCACTTAAATTTTTGTCGGTTAGCAAGCGCGAAAATCCCATCTGCTTCACGGTGGGTTACAAAGGAGTCTACTGCGCACATTTTGTATCACTAAGTGTTGCCAGGTGAAAGTAATTGAATCATGTAAGAGGTGTGGCTTTTTCTGAAAATTCTGCCCATTATACATAGCAAATCAGAATATGTCTGATGAGGCTCTTAAACTGATAGTGAAAACTGTTCATAAACAAATAGTAGTTACAGGTGATTAAATAGATAATTTGCCAAGCCACCGGTGGGTTTATCAAAACTTTTATACACATAACAAAGACAAGGAATGAAAGGCACTTCCAGACTCTTTAAAATACTTTGTTCGGATAACCCAAAAAACGGCTGTTTATCTACAATTCTTACATCCCGTATTTCATTTTACTGATCACTGAGTTCAACTCAAATCTAGCTGACAAGTCCAAAACATGACGAAGTATGTAGCTTAATTTCACTTCCAACCAGTATAACTATTAGATTAGCACTTTTACTTTGTCTACTTCGTTTGCTATGTGAGTACAATAGAATCATTTAATTCTTACGACAGTAAACAAGAAATAACTTGAACGTCGTGCAAACTAAGTTTCCTTCCAAATTCACTTGTGATCTTAGTAAGTAGGGAGAAATTACTAGAACAAAACAATTTGAGAGATGAGTAAAAGGATTAATTTTAGGCGGAAGTCAATGAAAAAACAGCAGAGTTATTTTCTTGGCTTTGTGGTTTCTTTTAGTGAAAGAAACAGGTGGCAAAGGCGAAATGTAATTTGATATTTGCTGGAGATTATATATATATATATATATATATATATATACATATATATATATATAGCATTCCTTCCTCTATTCCTTTCTCCTCCTAGTTAGATATGTGTATACATATATCTGTAATACCGAAGGAAATGAGGAAGTTGCTTATTCTACAAAGCGAAATGAAAAAAGGAATGTGTTAGTAAAAAAAATAAGACATTTTGCATGTTGTTTAAGCATATATATATATATATATATATATATATATATATGCCATAAGAAAATGGGGGAAAATTAAGGGGGATGCAGAAATTAGATGAACTTTTGAAGTGGAAGCAGGTCAACAATGTAAGGTTTCTCCTCTTCATTCTTCTACTTCTTCTGACTCATCCATCTTTATAAACTGAAACTTGCTCAAGATAAGCACGAACGAGCAAGCAATTAGAAGCTAACATAGATATACAAACTCATGATCTTCTCCTTCACTGCTTACATTTCTATGATATGCATGCACGCATATATAAATACGCACGGCTTTGTGAACATAGAACATCAGGCTAAAAAACAATTTAAGGAAGAAGCATAAATAGTTGTCTACATAGTTCTTCTTATTCGTTTGTCTTTTCCACTTCATTTTATTACTACTTTTCTGTAGAAGAGTGTCACGCAGTTTAACTTCTCGAAAACCTTAGTTAACACTTCAACAGTTGTAATAGTAGCATCAATATTAGAATTGGTAATAGTATGCAGTCGGTTAGTAAGGATGAAATAAGACTACAAAACAAAAGTTAGAATTCGATTCAGAAAGAAACCCAATATTATCTTCTTGTCATACAGCAAACCTAGTTTCCTCTCCCATTCCCATATTTTACTTTGATGTTTCTCTCTATTCCTCTTTATTTGTTTTTCTGGCAAACCAGCAAAAAGTGACAAAAAAATCTGACTGAAGGTAAGCCAAATTCGCTCAACACTGATAAGACTGTCAATACTATTAACGTAACCATCATTTTCGGTGTTTACCTTACACGTTAAAAGTTCCGTTCTAGTAAACTGATCAGAATATGTAAATATATGTACAGTACGAAAGTAAATGTCGGTTATGGGAATTTAAGACAGAATGGTTTTTTGCCTTCATTTTTCTAGAATCGTTGGTTAAGTTCTTCCAATGATTAGACTAGAGATGTATGCTAACAGTGTTCTCCCTACTTTCCAGGTAAGTGTAAGTTATTTAGATATAAATCCCTCCTAAAAGGATTTGTTTTTTGTTAATCTCAACAGAACCACACACGAAGATAAATATAGTTCATTTTGAAAAAGAGGTCAGGTTTCCAATGGTGTTAACGTGAGGAAAAACGCTGGGGAAAGCTTACAGAAAGAGTTTACATAAAAAAGATGAGTACGTAGTATTCTGGAAGACTTCTTATGACTGTCATGGTCAATACATAGTGAAATATTTACGTCAGTGTGTCCACAGAAATGTTTATGACAGTGAATCTAGAGAAACAATCCAGTTTTTGTGAGACGAGTAAGTAGAATGCAGATTTTTATAATTCAAGGTATTCTGTCTTTCATCAACACTTTTCCCCACCTGTTTGGGTATCCACTCCGAAAACAGTAAGCCTTCCAACTTTTCACGAGTTAACAATAAGAAAAGTCTTTTTTCATCAATAACTACATTGTATTTTGCTAATTTCCAGCATCTCGTATCCATCCTTCCGGCAATAAATTCCAATAGTCTTCATTGATATGGTAGAACTACACGTTCATGTTAGGTGTATTTTGAAATCTACTTTTCCTTTACATGTCACTGTTGGTCAGTAACCTCCTGAAGATCAAGAATTTCCAAAAAATATTCTTGTTTTGTTCTACAGTTCTTCGACAGTACACACACTTCAGTTTTGTTTCCTTGTCAATAATGTTATCTTTTAAAAAAGGTTTAGTCTCAGTGATTTATATCATCTTTGAATTCATCTTATGGTGTACTTCTGTAAACTAGGCTGTAAAATAATGCTGTTGATCAGTGATTACGGAATAGAAAGAAATAACCTTGGTTAGTTTAACAGTGATTCCTGGCAAGGACTACACACATTAAATAATACAGAAACTCACGTGTCTAGTATTGTTTTATAGTCCAAAATTCCAGAAATAAGTTGAGCAGCAAATCTAGAAACGTACAAGGAAATAAGTCCAAATGAAAAAATTTAGTATTCATGATCATTCTGAAGGGTCAGTGTATGCTTATAATGATCTTTCGCTTTTTGGCGAAATAACTTTTCGAAATAATATCACCTTGTTGAACCAAACTAATGAGGAATAATTTTCTTCATTAAACAGACATGAAAATGATTTAAAGCGACTGACTTAATAGTCATGTTGAACGAGGAAACCTGACTGAGTGAAGAGCTCAGTGAAAACGTTTTGTTGTTTATTGCATAGATTTTTAAACAATCAACTAGTATGGCAGTTCGAAATTATAGCATGGTCATGAACCTACCTAAGAAGTCACTTACCCAAAGGCATCAACCACTGTCATCTTTTATTTGTCAACGTTCGCATATATATATATATATATATATATATATATATATATATATATTAATGGAAAGCTTGGTGTTACTGAAAAATTACTTGATAGGTAACAGTAATAAAGACTGGTGTATTAAAACAGTAACAATACAGTAGCCCAATTATTTATCGTTTTATTCCTGCAAAAGGACAGTCGCTGCTCTGGTACTTCATTATTAAGTCAACGAATGCAGTGAGGTGTGGTCTAAATCTCAGCCAGGGACTAAGCCACTTCGAGACTGCAGATGTGCACCACCGTTAGTCGTGTCAACTATAAAACCTGGTTGCATCCTAACTTCGACTTAGATGGATATTTCAGAAAGATTGATCGCAAAATTATTCTTCACTTCTGAAGACGAATAAAAATGTTACAACGTTGGTCAAAGAGAAATTTATTGAATAATTTTATTTTTTTATGAAACATGAATGAAATGATCAATAAATGAGAAGGTAAAAAAAAACTCATCTGTTTACTTTACACACTAAAATGACAACAAATTCTCATGTATGAAACACTGACAAATAAAGAATACTAAGGTATATGTTTGTGCGTTTATCAAAGCTAACGATTAGATGGGGCAAGCAATGGTAAGTTAGATAATTAAGTAGAAAGGTAGGTAAGTAGAAGGATAGTT